TATTAATTCATCTGCCTCACTCTATTATGATTCACTTAAAATGCATGCTCGTGCAACAACTTTTAAGTGTTGGTGGTAACCAAAATCAGGCTTCAAAAGAAAACATTATAAGTTAATATCTATTAGAGCTACAAATGAGGATTTCCATGAATAGAGTAGGCTGTATGAGGTATAATAGCTTTTCTCATTCCATAGGATGTGTTTTTGGCTGTGGAATATGTTTCTGCACTGATTTAGTTCTATTGTAGACTTGTAGCCTGTGCACTGGCTCTTTTTAACAGTAGTTGTGGCATGTGATTTTGTTGACTTCTAATCTCAATGCTATTCTTATGTGCTCATGATGATCTTGAGTTCTTGATTCTTTAACTATCTGTATTAGTTCTTGATGCGATTGTTGTTGGTATGGACATGCTCATTAAGAAGTTTGGACAAACCAACAAGGCAAAGAAACGTCTTTGCCTTATTACAAATGCTGTTTCTCTCATCAAAGATCCATTTGAAGGAACAAAGGAAGATCAAGTAAACACCATTGCTACACAGATGACAGCACAAGGCATGAAGATGGACTGTGTAATTGTCAGAATGAAACAAGATTGGGAAACAAATAGGAGAATTATGGAAGAAAATGATTTTCTAATGTCAGTATTCTCGAATAAATCTTCCTCAAAAGTAGTATATGTGGAAAGTCCAACTTCTTTATTAGGTGCACTTAGAACTCGTAATATATCGCCAGTCACGATATACAGAGGTGATTTTGAAATTAGTGCCCAATTGAAGATCAAGGTGAGAATTAAGAAATTTATGCTGATTTACTCAATTCTTTTCAATTTTGATTCTTTACCTTTTTCTTCTGTTAATGAAATAGCTTTTCTTAGCCTTTTTCTTTTCTTCTTCTTTGGTTTTGCCCTATATATTGAATTATGTCCAAGTGAAGTGAGCATTTAGTGATAACATATTCATTCCTTCCTAAAGAATCTTGACTGATTTATGTTTTTGCATTACCTCTTTGTGACTTTTTTCAGGAGTCTATCATATTTTTTTTATCAAATCTCAGGGACATGGTCTAATCATGAGGGTAGTATTTTATCATGGTGTCAGGCAGCTACTAGCTTGGCTGATTTGGAGACAGATTTATATAAGAGGGAAATATCCAGTACCATCAATACTAGGGTCAATAAAACTATCCTCCCGGAATTTCATATTTACACAATCAGCAGATATTGTGATAATCAGATTGGATAGTTTACTCTCATCTAGAAACTGTTGTATCTGATTTCAATCTATGGGGATTGTAGGGATTTTACAGTAGTCTAGAAAACGAGTAAGATGGTAACTTTAGAAGTATGCAATGACGACAACTATGCTTCAATCCCAAACAAGCTGGGGTAACTAAAAGTATACACCTGATGTATATCCTTTTTGGTCCCTAATTTGCTAATCATATGTGCACGTTTCTTTTCCCTTTTCTTTCCCTTCCTATTCTATTTTGGAGACAGTTTGATGTGGATGTTTAGTTACTAATAAAAATTCTTTTAACCTTATCTTTCTCAGAAGAAAAAAGGAACTAATAATTGCTTTTTATTAGGTATGGGTTTACAAGAAAACATCTGAAGAGAAGTTTCCTACCCTGAAAAAGTACTCCGATAAGGCTCCTTCCACTGATAAATTTGCTACTCATGAAATCAAGGTTGATTACGAATATAAAAGCATAGAAGACCCTAATAAAGTTGTGCCACCAGAACAGAGGATTAAAGGTTTTCAGTATGGACCTCAAGTAGTTCCTATATCCTCTGCTGAGTTGGAGGCTGTAAAGTTCAAACCAGAGAAAAGTGTGAAGCTACTAGGATTCACAGATGCTTCAAACGTAATGCGGTATAATTTTAGTTTCTTGAATACTACACAGTTTTTTCAGGTTAATATTTGGATAGGTGGGAATGTCTTGTGCTGTTTATCTTTCCAATCTTCATAGTCATATTCTACTTACTCAGGCATTACTACCTGAAAGATGTAAATATCTTCATAGCCGAACCTGGCAACAAAAAAGCCATCCTTGCACTTTCTGCTTTGGCAAGGGCAATGAAGGAAATGAACAAAGTAGCAATTGTCCGATGTGTATGGAGGCAAGGACAGGGTAATGTTGTTGTTGGGGTCCTTACACCAAATGTCTCTGACAAGGATAATACTGTAAGTATGGTTTAAATTTTCACCTCTTGATTATTCTGTTTTCTCTTTTTAGTGTATATTCCACTCTTAGATTGTTGACATTCTCATTGACCACTGCTTGCAGCCTGATTCATTTTACTTCAATATTCTTCCCTTTGCTGAGGATGTTCGGGAGTTTCAGTTTCCTTCTTTCAGCAATCTGCCTTCATCAATGCAGCCAAATGAAAAGCAACAAGACGCAGCAGATAAATTGGTTCAGATGTTGGATCTTGCACCACCTGGAAAACAGGAAGTGTTACCACCTGACTTTACACCTAATCCTGTTCTAGAGGTATGGCGTCATGCAGAATATTGTTGAAATATTAAGTGTGAAACTACATTTACCTTTGCACTTAGATCACTCATTGGGAACATAATTAAACTAATTTTGTAAAGAGCTGCCTGAATTTAGGATATTTTCTTGCCAGTTGGTCATGGTAATCGTCGCAAAGTGATGCATTAACATTTCAAACTTTCTTTCTGTCGCTGAATTTGGTTAAAAGTAAGTTGTTATGATGCTTGTTGACATTGTTGCTGAGTTGTAATTGTCGTTAAGTTGGTATTGACAGCCTTTTCACCGCTTAGGTGGATAACTTGATTTGATTAATCATTTCATATTAAATATATGTTGATAATGGGACCTAGGTGGTACTTCAGCTTAATAATGTGCGTAACAGGATGCTGGTGATAGAAACCTTTGGAGATTTGGGTTTTAAGATTATAAACAGTGCTGCTTATCGATGAACTCTCTGAGTAATAATATGAAATAAAAAAAATCATAACTTAAGAATCCTAATTTTGCTCCATAATTGCCTTTTGCACTATCAGTTTCTAATCAATTAGTATTGTACAAATATCCAGCGTTACTACCGCTATCTTAACCTGAAGTCAAAGCATCCAGATGCTGCTGTTCCTCCACTTGATGAAACCCTCAGAAAGATAACAGAACCTGATGTTGAGCTTCTTTCTCGAAACAAGTCCATCATAGAGGAACTCTGTGGGTCTTTTGAACTAAAAGATAATCCAAAGGTAACTTTCAATATTCATCCCTTTATTCAAATTGGACTTTTCTAGAATAGTCCGACTATGGTGGCTTCTGCCTTACCAATTATTATATAATTAATGCGCAGCTGAAAAAATCAGCAAGAAGAATAAAAGAGAGACCTTCAGGATCAGATGAGGAAAGAGAAGAGTTCAACAAAGATGCTGATGTCAAAGCTATAGACTCAATGGAATACTCAGCCAAAACAGAAGTTGAGAAAGTTGGAGACGTTAATCCTGTCAAAGACTTTGAGGAGATGATGTCTCGAAGAGATAATCCAAAATGGATTAGTAAGGCCATTCAGGGTATGAAAAATAAGATCTTTGATCTTGTGGAGAATTCTTGTGAAGGAGATACATTTCATAAAGCATTGCAATGTTTAGTGGCTCTACGCAAAGGTTGCATCCTTGAGCAGGTATGTTATCTGGTTTTCTCTCTTTGTGCTATAGTTAAATATCAAATGTCTGTGGCACGCGCCCAAACAAACTAACATAGCAACATCAATTTTACCTGCATAGGAACCAAAGCAGTTCAATGATTTCCTGTGCCACCTGTCTAAATTTTGCCAAGAAAAAGACCTGAGAAGTTTCTGTCTATATCTCACATCTCATGAATTCACTTTGATAACCAAGGCAGAAGCTCCAGACAGGTCTGGTCATATTTCTAATTTCCTTAATACATTGAACTGCTTATATTGCTCTGTCCTTGCTTCTTCCTTGATGCTGATTTCTTTATTTGGTAACTTTGTATTTATCAGTGAAATTCCAGAACACGAGGCTAGAAGCTTTATGGTCAAGCCTGAACTTGACTCGCAAAATATGAAATCAGAGGGCTAAAGCAGAGGATGATATTATGAGTATATACCTGGGTGGGAAGTAGAAAAGAAAACCTAGAGATGCATATTGTGTGATGTACAGGCAATCAGCATTTTCAGCAAGAATGACAGTGTAAACTTAAAGAGATCTTATTTTTGAGGTTTCTGTTGAAGATTGAATCTTAGACCTCAATCAGCTTCATTTTGTTACTCCATCCTCAAGTTGTTTGTTTGGTTGTTCAAAGGCCTTTCTTTTATTTGCTTATTTTTGTCATGTCTAAACCTATTCTATAGATGTCTCTGTCTATGTCCATGCCTGTTGCTAGCAGGGTGGTAGGTATTAAGAAGGTATAACTTATGTAGTAAAGTGTTGCCCAGTACTATTTTTCACTTCTTTTGTTCGCTCCTAAACAGCTGGCATTTGCAGCAATTGAAGCTTATTTCAACCAGAAATTCCTCTCAACTGGCATACAGCATTGTTCTTCTGATTGTGTGAAACATAATTAACAAAAAGGAACAATGTAATACTATGTCTCCCGTTGTACAAATCAAACTGTTGGTCTTAGCAATAAGGGATCTTTTGATTTATAATCTAGTTAATGACATTTGAGATTATAGTGCCGAGATTGTTAAAGGATTAACAATAACTGTTATGCTACTTGTAATAACGCAAAAGTCGTTGGGTAATTAATAATAATAATAATACATGGACTATTATACGGGAAGTGTCTTGGAGGAAAATATTTTCCAATTAAGTTGCATCAAATTTTTGAAAAATATTCTCTAAGAAAAATAAGTTCAATAATTAGCCCCATCCCCACAACCCATTGTATTTCCTATGCAAGGACTTTTGGGGGAATATTTTCTTACTTACCAACCACTTAAAAATACGAAAGAAAAATCATTCTTCTTAATGCTAAACATACTAAGCAAGATTTTATACTGGAAATTGAACACTATAAATCAGATGAAATATCTTACGGAGATTATGTCTTATCCTTCAATGCATACAATCTCTAGGTATGCAAAAATCCTTTCACCATATAATTTCTATTAGAGAATCATCAACTCATCAACACAGCCAGGAATGCAAAAATCCCCACCTGGAAAGGTTGGGGCTGGCTTGTCCCATTTTCCTTTTCTTTCACAGGCTAACAAAATACTACACAAAATTATGAAAAGTTTTGCCTTATTAGTATTAGCCACTCCATCTTGGTAATGAAGAAAGTGCCTGTAGTTTCTATCTCTCTTGTCCAAATCCTGCCTCAGCGCCAATATCAATAAACAGTTCAAGTCTCAAATTTCAAGAGGAAAAGATAAGTTCTGCATAGATGACTTTCCCTCCAGGAATGATAAGCTAAGCTGAATTATCCACGGACTCCAATCAATTCAATATCAAACACCAACCATGAGTTTGGTGGGATATTCTCCCCAGCTCCCTCACTCCCGTAGCTGCAAAAACAGGAATAGCAAGAATTAATCAAAGTTAGAAAAGGAAGTTACATGTGCATCAGCATGCGCACCCAGTAGCAGAGTAAAGATACTGGAGGGAGGAACTTATATTGGGACAGTAATAAAGAAAAGGATTGAGGGGAAGCAGGGAGAGGGATCTCGTGTCTTCAAATAAATTCAGAAAGTAAATATGCAGCATACCCTATTGATGGTGGGACTGTGAGCCTTCTTTTATCACCCACACGCATGCCTGTTATGGAAGACACAATATTATATTAGCAGCTGCAGCTATTGAAGAAAAGAATTAAGGACATATCAAATCTACTCATCGCCATCCTTACCAGCAAGACCAAGGTTCCATCCCTCTATGACGTCTTTATCACCTTCAAACAATAAAAAGGAAAAATCAGAGTTTAACAAAAGTCCATCAAAACAAAATAAATTCTTCCAAGAGTCCTGTGAATACCTAGACGAAATTTATATGGAGATTTTCCCATATTTGTGTAAAATATCTGCCCATTCTCCTTTAGCTTGCCGGTGTAATGAACTTTGATCTGTGCAACAGTTCGAACAGCAGAAAAAGTTGAGACTCTATTTTTCCTGAGGTAAAGTCGCCTAAATTCATAGTTCGAGATATCCATAAATTCTCAACTAAATTACCTTCTTTCCTGGAGCTGCCAATTTTCCACCAGGTTCACCCACAGCGAGCTCTTCAATGGTCAACCCATTAGACAAGGTCTTTATTACAGTAGACTTGACCTTCAGACTCTTGTCCTCAACATCCACGGATTGTCTATTCATTTCATTCTCTTGCAGAACAGGAAGATCCTTGTTTACCAAACAGTCATCCTGAGATTTCATCTTCTTTTTCTTCTTCTTTTTAAGTTTCTTATCCGATTGGTGCCCATCAGCCACAGAGTCAGATTTTCCATCTACACTACTACTGCATGCATGGATGGTCAAAATGTTATAACCAAATATAGTCCCTAAAACAATTTCTAGAAGGAGGCGTTGGCATGCAATCTTGCCTAGAGAATGTAGGTATAAGGCAAGTGCATGATATCAGAGTATGTACATCAGAATTGGCAATAATGACATATATCTAGTACTCCCTCCGTTCACCTTGCTCGTCCACTATTCCAAAAATAGATTCACTTTTACTTGTCAGTTTCAACGTATCACGAAAAGACAATTTTATCTTTTCCTATTTTACCCTCAACATTAATTACTTATTCCCCCAAAATCATTTCCCAAGACCTAAGACAACACATCAATTAATATGAGTATTGTGGTAAACTACTCATATAATCATTGTTTCTTAAGGGCGTACAAGTCCAAAATGGACAAGTAAAATGAATGGAAGGAGTAGTTCATAGCAGATTTAGTTTTTCCCAACCTATATCCCCTTGACAAAAGAAAGAGTTTTGATAAAGGTAGGGTCCCCTTTTTAGGCAGTAGGCAGCATTGAGATTTGGTGCAGTTTTCAAGAAAACAGCGCAGCTAATTAAACATTAAAAACTCACTTATTGATGGTCAGTTTTTGATCTTCTTCATCTATTGCAATTGCAATTGCAATTGGATCCTCACCCAGGTGACCAGCTTTTAGAGGATCTTGTTTCAGTTGATCCTCTTTAAGAATGACAGCACAGTCTGTATCATGGTTTTCGACAGATTTCGCTTCCACAGAATGCTTTCTTTTCTTCGATTTTGGAACATGATTAGAATCCTCTTCCGCAAGGGGCTCCAGAGTATCAGATTGGCCATCTTTCCTGCCAGAGCATATAGCTTGAAAAAAATTAGAAGGGTAATGAGGTGTAAGAAAAAACTTAAAGAGAAACTTGATCAGTACATATTTGGTGGATAAACTAGCAATCTGAACATGCGACAGAACAAAAACAGAACAACTTCATTCAAAAATAAAGCAACATCTTACATATCAATTGTCATTGCCAACCCGACATCCACCAAATTTGTTTTATCATCTTTGTAGTCCTTCCTATCACTGCTGGTATTTGCTTCAAGAAGTTTACCACCATTGCCCTCAGGCTGTTTCCTCTTCTTCTTTGAGTTAATGCTGTTTTCATGACTGTGTTCAATAAGATGGAGCAAAATAAGCAGGAAGAAGATAAGACCCTGTGCTAGAGGCAAGCAATGTTCTCTTAAATGGACAAAATAAAGGAGAAGAACATTCCACATGAATGCATGTCCACAAAGCAGAGAGGATAACATGCACTTAGAAGGAATAGCTTCTAGTCATTTTTCCTTTTCAGGATTACTCAAGGCTGACCTGCCAGATGCTATTCATCTTAATTGTTAGCTTACTTTTGTAAACAATCATGAACTGGCAACAGTTCTACATGCCAACAATGGATATAAGAAAAGAATAGTTTAAAATATTCTTCAAGGTAACACTCAAAGCTAAGAGAAAATATCAAATGATTCAATGTAAAATTTCCTTTGGTAAGATCGGGTACCTAGGATGGATAATAGACCAATTATACATTGAAAACTTTCAGCAAGGCTTCGTGGGGTTCATGAAACAATCCAGATCTGAGAAAAGGTGGTTTTCAAAGGAGAAGATCCTATCATACTAGATACCTTAGTTCCTTATAAAGCTTATAATGGCCCACGTCCAAGACCAAAAAGTTACTGCAATCACAGAAATCAGTAGTTGCCTCTGTGCGACTTACTTGGCTTTTTTAGATTCCACTGTGCCACCATTTTCTGTCCTATGAGGAATGTCAATCTTTTGATTATCTTCTGATGCTACAGCCTTCACGTCTGTTTTCTTCTTAAGAGCCGATAAGAGACAACTATCTTCATCATCGCTTTCCTGCAATATATCCTCATTTTCGGACTCACTTACTTGGTACTTCTTCCTAAGCCTTTTATGGCCGCCATTGTTGTTGTTAAGCTTATTGTCTGACACATTCTCATCATCTTCTTGAACTGAAAACGCCAAAAAGTCAATCAGAAGAATAGAAATGCAGGATGTATAAAGATAAGAGACACTAGCATTCAAGGGTGCTGGTGCGGCCTAACTATCGATGAAGGAAACCAGAGTTTAAATCCAAATAGGGGTAAAGAAAGCTAGGGAATTATTATTAATCTTCCTAATCTTGGTAGACAAAACTACCTAGTTCCTATACTAGTAGGAGATGTGGGTACCTAGTGGACCATTATCAGAAAAATAATAGGAGCAATGGAATACACTATTGTGGCAGCCGAAACGGCGGATTCCCCTGCTACATTACAATATCTTGCTCCTTATACAGGAGCAGCACACCAGCTGGATCATTTGTATCAATATACTACCAGATCGCGCTAATATGGAGGGAGGCAGAGAGAGGGGATTAGCAGTCTGTCGACTGCCCCCCAACCCTTCTTTGAGGGTCCGTTTGGACATGCAATATGAAATCATGATATACATCAAATTGATATGAAATTGAAATTTTGTTTGGACATGCAATTTGAATTTCTTAAGTTGTATTTTTTCTCATAAATATGACAGCCCCACAAGTTGTGAAAATCATCAAAATTTCTTGTAAATACTTACCAAATAAGCCAACCAAAGTTCAAAAACAAGATATCGGAATATCCTAAGGCACCGCATTGATGAATTGCATATCTCCATGTTTCTTTTAGAAATAAATTCTTGTAATTACAAACTTCCAAATACACATAATTTTATATAGATCTACTAGTCAACAATAGTAGTAACTAGTTATTTTTTAATATAATCCTTTCACATGGTACGGACAATCAATTCGTACCAAGCATGAGACTTTTTTTGCAAAATTTAAAATGATGGATTTATTTTACAAAATATAAACTTATGGGTCAAATTTTTACATTTATAAAATATTGGAATCATGATTTGGAATGTCAAATCATGCTTTTTGGAGAATTTGGGATATGAAATCATGATATGGAATTGCATGTACAAACGTAAGCTTAGTTTGTCTAAAGGAAGGAGATATCCCACTGGACTATCATAACCCACACTCACGGAGATAAGCAGGAGAAAAGGATAGGTGCAGAACTCATAATCAAATTTAAGAGACAATTGATAGCTTCAACCTTGCATGATCACATGGAGTTAGAAAGATACCTCCGCTGCTTGAAGCAGGTGAAGGTGGTGATATTTCTGGTTCAGCATCGTTGATAAAGCTATCATCATACTTGTCATCATCACTGTCATGGCAGGATTCCCCTGTTTCTGTGTCTGCAATATCCTCTCCATATGACTCTGTATCACTGTTTACATTTGCTCGCCGACTATTTCCCACATAGTAACCAGTCAGATAAACAGTTCTAGGACCGAGAACAGAAAAAACCACATCTTCTGCCTCCTCAAACTCTAAATCCAAATGGCACGACTCTGTCTTGTTAGGTAACAAAGCACAGAGGAAAACAGGACTCTTGTTCCCCACATTACACTGTACCAAACTTTTAGTTTCAGCATTGCCAATTCCCAATGTTGCCTAAAAGGACACAACATGCAGAACAAGGAGCTAAAGTGGTTAATCTCCCAGCTATCCTTAATAAGAAATGAATATGCATCACAAATAGAATTCAACTCAAATGAAAACTTAATCTTGCTTTTTCCCTTTCTTGCATTTTTTTGCTTTGTTACCTGAAATTGAAACTACTCACACAGTCACTCCATTTCATTCTATACGACAGTACTTGACTAAACAGAAAGTTAAAATTAGCATTAAATTGACTTTAGTGGAATAAAGGATTAGCAAACTGTTGAAAACTTAGTTTGATAGGGAAAACATTTCATCAAGTTTAGCTTGCACAGCAATTGAATGATGCCAAACAATTTATTGTTTTTTTTTGGTTAACAATGTGAAAGATTACCATCAACAAACAACCACGAATCACAACCTAAAGAGCACCTAATTCCACAGCCACCTTCTAGGAAGGATGGTGAAAAGTAGGTCTTAAGCAAACAAAAAACAGCAACTAGTTACATTTCCAATCTATAAAGCCTCTAGATCTAATTGCTTTCTTGGAATCACCCAGTACGTCTATTTCTCTTTATATGTGCAATTACTTCATCCGGCTGTACATGCTTTCCTTGGAACATCTTCCATTTCCTAACTCTCCATGCATGGTATATCATAGGTCCTCATACAGCTTCTAGTATCACAGCTCCTCATACAAGTAATGGAATACTCACCTCTAGGAGTCAGACCATACTTCCCCTGCACATACCATCTTTTCATCCTTTCTTTCAAAGAGTTCATCTCCCTCCAATACCAATTACTATCTGGAGGAGTCTTGTAATCCCATATGCTTTCAGAGTTTCAGTAGATTTCATATATACACCATGGACCCACTTGACCCACAGTGAGTTTTTCTTTTCAATAAGCTGTCACAACAATCTACCAACAGAAGCAATATTCCAAGTTCTGCATCCCTTGATATTTAGCCCCCCTAACTTCTTTGTAAAACAAACTTTTTCCCATGAAACCAAGGAGATCTTCCTTTTGTTTTTAGAGCTTCCCCACAAGTATTCCCTACACCTCCTATCCACTTCTTTCAATATGCTTTGGGGCAAAGTAAATACTACTCCCCAAAATTATGAATGGAAAAAAAAGCAACATTTCTAGTCTGAAGTTTTTTTTTTTTTTGAAACTGGCAACTTATTTCTAGTCTGAAGTGTGCCTGCAGAGGATAACTGTTTGGAGTATGTCAGTTTGATTCAGTTGGTAATTTTGTCTACTAGTTGTTGGCATTCCATTTTACTCTATTTCTTAGATGAGAGGGAAATCCAAGATATCATATGGGGAATGCTTCAATAGAAAACTGTGTCTAAGCAATGATTTGGATTTTAAGTTCATAAGTTACTCTACCCATAAAAGATTCTTGATTTGTCTATACTAGCAACCAACCCAGTAACATCACTGAAATCTGTTAGTGCTTCCATGATCCTATCTACTGAGTCAACTGTCTCTTTATGAAATAGCATAAGATCATCAGCAAATATAAGATGAGTCAACTGTACGGCCTTACACATTTGGCGGAACTTAACTTAAGCAACATGCTCATTGTTTTTAGAATCCTGGTAAGGTAATTCATCACCAAGAAAAACAACAGTGGTGAGGCAGGATCACCTTGCCTATGTCCTCTTCTCCCTTCAAAGAACTCATGGCTTTCCCCATTTACCCTGACAGAGAATTTTATTGGGGTCACACAAGTCATCACTAGCTTAATAAATTTCCCAGGAAATCCAAAGCCTTTCATTGCTTCCTCCATAAATTCCCAACTCACCATGTCATATGCCTTCTTTAAGTCAATTTTCAGTAGGCACCTAGGTGAAGTCTTCCTCTTGTAGTGCCTAAGTAGATCATGACAAATCAAAACATTTAGGATCATTGATCTCCCTTGCATAAATATTGCTTGGTTCTCAGCCACCAAATGATTTACAACAGTTTTTAATCTTGTACAAATCATTTAGGAGATGCATTTATACAAGAGATTGGTCTATATTGACTATGTTCTGGATTATCAACTTTAGGGATAAGTGCAATGATGGTCGAGTTAAAATGTTTTAGCAGTTACCTTTTCGGAAAATAGTCCATGATTGCCTCAGTGATGTCCCTTCCAACAATATCCCATGTTGCTTTGGAAAAGCAACTACCATAACCACCAGGCCCAGGGCTCTTATTACTATTAATTTTAAAGATAGCAGACTTCACCTCCTGTCCAGTAAATGGCTTAACTAAATCAACCAGATGATCAATAGTTAGAAGAGTATCATTCTGAATACAGCTAGGAAAGACTTTAACTCTTGTTGGAGCTGCTTTTCCTAGCAAATCAGTATAATAATCTACACACACCTGTGCAACTAATTCAGGGTCATTCTTCCAGTCACCTCGGTCATCCCCAAGTTGTGTTGTAGAAAGATGGAGCTTTCTATGTTTGATCACAAAATGAGAGTGCTTGGTATTGTCATCTCCTAATTTTAACCAAGTTACTTTACTCTTTTGTAGTAAGTATACTTCAGCCAGACAAGAAGACTTCCTGTAGGTTTGATATTTCAAACTCTCATCTTGTTGTATCTCCATATTCCCAAGATCAGCTTGCATTAAGTGCATTCCTATAATCATCAGCCTTAATGCCAAACAATTTGAAGTCCCAAAAAGGAAACATTTTCATATGAATCTGGATAGAGTGTACATAAACTTGAGATTATAGTAGTTTCAACTTTAAACCCTATACAACATGGATTTCTAATTCACTGTGCTTAAACATGATTGGCATTTACACACCAATCACTAATTGATCTAAAATATTGGGAATTGAAGAAGATCCCATTCATCTATAAATCACCTGAGAAATTCGTAGCCTTCCTCTCTCATTATTGGACGAATGAGTAACTGGCTTACCAGCTTTCACTTCAATACCTATAAAACCAAAAAAGAAGTTAACGATCCAGTGATGATCGATCAAAAAAGCTTTAGAAAACAGTTGATAAAATTTTACCCCAAAATGCCATTGTTTTAGCTTCGCGGTTGGTAAACCCTAGGCGAAGGAAGCGGTGATCCTTGTTTCCCCTCAAACCCTAAGCTATTTATACTTGTGAGTTTGCGCGGGAGTTTCTTTCTTTCTTTACTTAGCGCGCTTAACCTTTTATTAGAGTAGTAGTTAAGTGTATTTGCTCCGCGTTAATTAATAATAAATGTATATAAATAGAATAAAGGAAAAAGGGTCAAAAATGTCCTTACGGTATTGGAAATGGCTCAAAAATGCCCATCTTCCATCTATTAGATCAAAAATGCCCTTCCATCCACCTATTTAGATAAAAAATGCCCTTAGAGTTAAATTTAAGTCTGATATTGCTCTTACTTTTATCAGAAGTTGATGTGCCAAATATATATTTTTTAATTAAATATGTGAAATTATTTTATTGGTCCACATATAATTAGACCCACTTTCATTCACAATCATTCATACCCATTAACACCAAACCCAAACCCATTTCTCCCACTTTCTTCATCTTTCTTCTACAAAATTATTTGGAGGATTAATAAAATAATATCAAACCAATCAGTAAAAGAACATGATGTTCCAAGCATTTCTCAGAAATTTTCGAAGTCTTTCATGAGCTAATTGGAGATTGAATTCCTCCTCTACTGTTAGAGGCTTCAATTTTCTTGAAATGTAATAAACATGGCTCGATTCGATGAAAAGTAGAATCGTGTCTTGCTTCCATGGGAGATTGAAGGATTTTTTTGTTCCCATCTCAGTAAATCATTCATTCTTTTGATACGTTTTGGTGTACAAATTAAATTGCACTTATCTTCACTACCACAAAATTAGTAGGTAAATTAAGTTTTTTTCCAGAGAGTGATGATATATAGATAACCTTTTTTTCAAAGATCTAAGAATACAGAAAGAATTTGATAGTATTTTATTAATCCTCCAAATAATTTTATAGAAGGAAGATGAAGATGAAGATGAAGGTAGAAAGAGTTGGGTCTTTTAGAAATGGGTTTGGATTGATGGGTATGAATGGGAATGAAAGTGAGTCTAATTATATGTGGACCAATAAAATAATTCCACTTATTTAATTAAAAAAATATATATTTGCCACATCAGCTTTTGTTAAAGGTAAGGGTAATTTTAAGCTTAAATTTAACTCTAAGGGCATTTTTTATCCAAATAGATGGATGGATGGAAGGACATTTTTTATCTAAATAGATGGGTGAAAGGACATTTTTGAGCCATTTCCAATGCCTTAAGGGCATTTTTGACCCTTCTCCCTAGAATAAATTATTATGTGTATATTATATATTAAGTACAATTTATAAAAAAAAATGAATCGTTTAAGATATATAATGTACATTTGAAGAGAAATATGATAATTCACTGTCACATTGATAATTATCATTACGTACTAGAGAAACCAAAGAATTTTCCAGAAAACAGCAAAAACTCCGGCAATGCTGGCAAAACAGGTTGTCCAAGAAGTGCATATGAGAGGGAGAGCAAGCATACGATTAAACTGTATACTAGCAAATTTGAACTTTTATCCTGAACAGATGCAATTTACTTAGCTAGAGTGGTAAATGCGTAGTGAAGTCTATTAGAATAGAGAGTTGATAATGCATAGTTTGGAGATGTCCAATATGCATGAGTTACTGATTTGTATTGTTTCATTTGGTAATGAAATTTTTTTATTTACCAAAAAAAAATTATCATTACGTACCATTTTTATACAAAGTATACTTTAAGAAATGATAATTCGACATCATAGTAATAATTAGGTAGCAAACTTATGTTGGTATTGTTATATGAAAACATGCTCTAAATAATAAGGTAAAGAAAAAACAAATTACATTATAGATGAACATAATAATATAATACAATTACCTATAATAAATTAACAACAACAAAAAGAATTATGATAAAGCATAAAATAAATAAGAAATACAATTAGACTACAAATTTACAGTGCAAGAAAATTATTACTTATATTTAATATGTATTAAGTAAATAATATTATTTTGATCCTTAATATATATCACTGGATAAAAATAATCCTTAATATATGCAAAATGATATTATTTTTGTCCTAACTCTAAAATTAACCATTCTCTGTTAAAAACTAATTGTCTGCCTCCCAAGTTCTTTTTTATCAAATAATTTAACGCAATTTATCTTTTAGATATATATGTCCTTGTCCTGTACGAATTCAGATGTACAGCAGAGAGCAGAAACAGTAATTTTTTCGAAAAAGTGAGTAGAAATGAAGATAAATCCACCAATGTTGTTGCAAATAAGCAGATCCTATATTAAACTAGTCAAAGCTGACAATCTTCAAAGGTGTTTTGGTAGACATTTTTCTAACACTGAAACTCCAACTACCAACTCCATTGTTGATGCTTCATTAGCTGTTCCCATTTCAGCTTCATCCATGGAATCCGATAACTCAAAGGTACATTCTTTCTGACTCTCTGTTTTGACGCACACCCACCAAAAAACACAAAGTTGAAAGGAGCTAATTTTGAGCTGAACGAGAAATTGAAAGCTTACATTTTTTTTATGTAATAAATTACAATTTCGATGCATTTTGGCAGAAGAAGGCAACTGATTCAACATGGGTTTCGAAGATTGTATTGTATTCTTTCTGGCAAAGTTCATGTTCTTGGAGAGTTCGCTTCGCCTTAAATCTCAAAGGTTATTCTTGGTCAATCCCAAGATTGAATTTTTTGGGGGGATGGGGGCTTCAACTGAATAATTTTTTGATTGTTAACTTTGTGTTTTGGCTTCTGCGATTCACAGGTCTTTCTTATGAATATAGAGCAGTCAACCTTGGCAAAGGAGAACAGTTCACTTCAGGTATTATGTTTGATTTTTTTGATAGTCATTCACATGTATCGAATTCAGAAGTACCAAAGGCTTTTCTTGAGGGCAATATGGTGTTGATAAAAGAAGATATCCCATAGAAATTACTATAACACCAGCCAAGAAAGCTATTCTTGTGGTGTGGGCGAGATGTCTCTGCAGATTTTTAAATAGAAATAATGGTGTGTCGGACAGTCTGAAGATTGGCTAATCTAGCTCCTATCTGCTTAATTAGACAAAGAGATAGTAGTTGCTGCCATATTTGTTAGAATACGAACATTACTAGATGCTATTGATGGTTCAACTTCATGGCTTTTCATAGTCTGTGTAAGCCATTTAAGTGAAGCTTTTGCTTGTAGCTCCTGAGTCATGATTACTTTTAAACAAAACTCTTATAGTTCTTGATTATTGTAGTGATGAACAGAAATAGCAGTCATTTCAGTTAAAGAGTATGAATAAGCCCTTTGGCTGTTTTTGGAATGTATAACACTAGTAGCTTATGTTGTAAATCTTACGTCATCACGAACACTTGATATGGAGTTCACCAAGACTTATACTTCTCCATGAACTTTGTAGGAAATTTTCATAGCTTGAGGCGTGTCGAAAGACACTGTCCTTAAGGATATTTCACCAGGTATGGGTGTATCCCCCAGGATTCAACTAACTCTTCTACTATAAAACTAGGAGCTAGAAACTAACAAAGATTCAAAGAACAAAACCCAACACACCAATAGAATATAGGAAGAAAGATTTACTCTCAAATATGTATTGTGTTCTATCTCATTTGTGATAAGAGGAAGACCACATTATATGTCAATATCACAAAGCCTCCAACGGTCAGATAAGTAATTGGCTAATGATTGATGGGAGAATTAATTAGGATAATGAAAGGATATTATATAGTTGGCAATTTGAGAATGGTAACAGCCAATTTATTGCAATGAGACCAAGTCAAAACCATTCAATGGTAAGATAGTTCTCTCAAATACTTATGGTAGAAATGTGTTAAATAACATACTCTTTAATAAGGAATGAATGAATAAACCTTAGACAATAATATAAACAAGTCTTTTTGAGATACTAGAATCATTTTTCCAACAACTTATACCTCATGATTACTATAGAGATGGGCACTGGGCAGAACTAGAAACTATTTACGTGAGGAGTAAGAAAAGTCGTTCAACTGTTTTGGATAACTCATAACATTAGCTTATGTATGGTTCAGAACCAATAAGCTGAAAAAGTATATCTTAAACTTCTTGTTAATTGCTCTATGCCGAATGCTCCAGTACAACACACATATGTTTAGCTGTGAATTGCCCCTTTGTTTCTTTAGTCTGCTTGCAACAGAGAGCTCCCCATGGCAGGCTACCGAATATCTGAACTTTGAATACTGACAAGGTTTAAGAGAAACAGATCTAACTACATACAAGTGTTCAGCTTTAGGTTAAAAAATTCAGGTCCATCCCTAAAATTACTCATTTCCTTGTGACATTTCCAACTTCACCTGGCAATAATCACATTAGCCAGTGATATAGTAAAAAAGCCTATGCATATCTGTAACTATGCCTGAGGTGACTGCTTTATGTTTATTACGCCCATAGGCAATGAGAGATCAAACCCGAAAGAAGTGGCTCTTCCATCAAGTTGTCAAGCGGAAACTTGAACTACAGTCTCATATGCAGTGGGACTGATCAGGAAAAAAAAAGATTCATTGTCAGTGGGATCTACAACCCCAGGAACATTCATGAGATTACAGTATTTTTCTGAAGTTTTTTATTAACTGGTACCAATAAGATCTCATCTTACCCATTTTTATCCATAGACCAGAGGATATCGTTCACGCAGCATGTCCTCCAAATCATCTTAAAATAGCAGCTGTTTCAGGTTCTGATTTCTAGTTTTTGTAGCTCAAACTACCCTCCTCTCTAAGACAGCATAAAATTGTCCAATTGACCTTTTCTGTGATATGATTAAGATCACCCTTCTCGACGGAAATATATACCCATTTAATCGTTCACTTTCTTTGGTAAGGATGCTGAGCCAGTAGCCTTTTAAGTACACCTAGCTCTCTGGTTATTGGTGCCTAATTCTTCCTGTAATATAAGACCGTTTTTAAGTCAAGAAAGGATTAAAGGTGTATAAATAATAGGAAGTCTTACTATAGGATATCCATAATATTATGTAGGTAGCCTCAGTTTGATTAAGCATTGGTATACATGCTCTTGCCCTGTTTGGACAGGAGAAAGCGTCAAAGCAGACAAATTTATCCAGAAAAAGAAAAGGAGATGAAGCATAGATAGGTCTACTTGATGATATAAGGATATTCTCTCTTGATTGAGTTAGGGAAAGACAGTTTCAACTTCAGATTGTATAACTTTGTGATACCGGCAGCTGGCTTCTGCAATCCAGTTATGAGAACTGTGATAAAGTTCTGGATCCATTTATTTTTTACCTAACACGAGCATACACACAATCTTCCATAGCAATCAATGCTCAGTGATTAGTTAGCATAGTTTCTGAACTTGAGCAATGCTTCCAGAATGAATATTGGTGGTATATGTATAATTTTTTGTAGCACCATTAATTCTGACTAATGTCATATGCATATTTGCAGAGTTTGATAAATTAAATCCTCTTCATTATGTTCCTGTTTTGGTTGATGGTGATGTGGTAATTTCGGACTCCTATGCAATTTTACTGGTAGGATCTCTTAAGCTTATATGATCTTCTTTGATTCCTAATCCTGACACCATCATGAATGATTCAGTTGTGTGCCAATCTCTTTGCTGTTTGGGTAGTATTTGGAAGAGAAGTATCATCAGAGACCCCTGTTGCCAGTTGAACCTCAATTAAGAGCTCTCAATCTTCAGGTTAGATCCAAGTGCCTATGGATCCTTTCACTTAGGAAGTCCTTGAAGGGCATTATGAATTAATAAGAAAAAGAAGTCCTTGAAGGGCATTTTGAATCGTGTTCATGTGTATGCTCATTATCTTGAGTCCATAAGGGCAAGATATCTCGAAGAATGGTGATATATATTATCTCCAAATTTAAGGTTGATGAACATTGACTTCTTTCATAAAAATATGTACTAAGGAGCAAGGTTGGCTGCAACTAGGATAAAAGCTTTGCACCCCTTGTCTTTTCTGCAGGCAGCAAGTATTGTCAGCTCCAATATGCAGCCACTTCATATGTTATCAGTGCTGGTATTCTCTTGCTCCAGCAGTTCCTTTTTATGCTGTCTTGTCAAGGATGTTGTTTTGTCAGGCAATAATAGTTGCCGTTCAATTTTCAGAGGTACATGGAGGAAAGGGTTGGTCCCGAAGAGAAACAATTATGGGCAAAATTTCACATACAAAAAGGTTTTGGAGGTAAGTTTCTTTAAAATTTTCCTGTTGATTCCTAAGTTTGTTATTTGCTTTTTTCCTAACCATCTCCTAACAATTTTCTTCTATTTCACACTGTAGCTTTAGGGAATTATATCATTCCTCAAAGGCATTTTTGTAGTTGAGGTTTTATTAAGGATTTAGTGGAATAATCTCTTCCTTGCCTAGGTTTCAAAATTTGAAACTACCATTGGTTTTTAAGAAAAGAAGGTAAAAATGGGAAATTATGCAAAGCCAAGCAGGCTATGCTTGCTTGTGTATCCATTGCAGGAAATGTACTCCTGTGGGATAAGTTTTATACATGTTCTATTTACCATACTCATTTAGTCCACGTGAGAAAAGAAAAGTCACCAATAAAGCTTTCAAGTTAATTTGATGCTTGTGCTTTGAGTTGTTTTGGTACATAAGAATGCTCATCGTTGTACTCGTCAAAAAAAGAATGTTCATCATCATGGAGTCTCTTTTTCTAATTTATTTGACATAGTTTCACTGGATTGGTTATCAAGGAGTTAGGCTTATATATTTTCTATGTAGCGGACTAGTTTTGGGTTTGTAAATATAACTTGTATAATAGGGAAATCATCAAATGAGTGGGATTTTGATCTTCTATATTATCGATTGAGTTCGTGAAACTTGATTCCCTACAACTTTGCATATGGTTAGTTGTACGTGTTCAAACTTTTTGAAAATCCAATTGAACATTTATTGGATTAATTGTCATAAAGGGTATCACGTATATCTGGATAGAGATCATATTCGCCTTAATTGGTGGTCAATTTGATTTTCATGAGTCAAAAGTGTAAAAGTAGTTCTGTATGGTCTTTTTTAGCCTGGCAATGTTCAATATCCTCATTTTGTTTGCTTATGCGTCTGGTATTCAAATTAGACAAGATGACACTATCCTCTTGTTTCTATAGATTCTAAGATTCAACTAGGACTCCTTCTGTTGCCTGATGTAGTGAATTTTGTTTCCTTGATCAGTATTGTTCATCAACCTCTTGTTTATTGGTTCTGAAGAAATTTCTTTTTTTTTTTTGGAGCAGCTCTTGAAAAATTGCTGACGGGTTCTGCTGGAAAGTATGCTACAGGAGATGAAGTATATATGGTATTTTGTCTAGCACTTGTATGCTTTCTTGATAGCATTGTTTTATTGTGCACCTGAATTCCTTGAGCTTCGGAAGTAGTGGAAAAATTATCATGTCAACAGTTAAATGATACTAATAATCTTGACGATGTTATTCCTAAATGATCTCAGCTGATATAACACGGTGAACATTGCAGGCTGACGTGTTTTTGGCACCTCAAATTGCAGTAGCTACTAAAAGGTTTAACATTGACATGGTAAGTTTATGTGGCTACTAAATGTATTTGGGTCATTTTTTTTGGCTGCAACATGATTACTAGTTTAAACTTTTCTCAGATCCCTGAAGTCTCTCTGCATTGGTAATACAAACTTCATTGTCCTTAACTGCAAAACGAGCCAACTTGAATCAAGCTCTGGACTAGTACTTTAATAGACAAGCTCAAGTTCGAGCTCAAGCTTGGCACATCTTATTTCTCTAAGTAACCAAGTTTGAGCTCGTTAGTGAACTTAGTTGACATGAGCTTGGCTCTGAATCTCACCGTCCCCACCAAAAATAAGCTATAGTATTAGGGATGGCTAATTGACAATAAGGTAACTCAATGCCATTTTCATGGCATACACATAAGATTACGTGATCATTTTCATCTAATCTTTACCTTTAAAAAAAAACGATCTTACTATAATAGTTTACTTAATTAAGACAAGATTTCATTATCATTTCATGTTAGGAAAAATTACACGACATAGCAAATTGAGGCCCTTTATTTATTCGAAATAGAGGTAGGTTTAAAAAATTATCAGTGTAACGATAGTTTGGGGTTTTATAGCAGGCACACATGGATATAGTTAGGTAATGACATTATACATTGTGTGAATATAGTGTCTTCCTCGACTTCAAAAATTGAAATACTGCTACATTTCGTAATATTAAGTAAAATCCCGCTATGTTTCATAATAATAGCATAAAAACAACTGTGCATGGGTTGTAAATTTGCGAATTAAGATAGAACTCACACCGTACTCGCACCATCGACATCCCTATCATAGTATACAATCATATATGAAAAATAAATAAATTGCCTTTGTCTTTATGTTTTTCTGTGGTTTACTAAATTCATCACACTTGAACACACTTGTGAAAACTGAAACATGTGTCCTGTTTTCTTTCCTGGAATATATATACTGTCACACTCATTTAATATTTGTGAACCTAACGTGCATCTTCTACTGTCTTTTACCCAACCCCACTCAGCCCCCCTCCCCTATGTTGCCTCACTAGCAAAAAAGAACTTAAATAAAATATGTTATGGTTGAACACATTTTGATGTTGATATTATTTTGTATGTGCAGTCTGAGTTTCCAACCTTAAGGACGATATATGATTCTTGTGAAGCATTACCAGAGTTCCAAGCTTCTTTGCCAGAACGACAGCCTGATGCTCCCCCTTGAGCTTATATGCTAAATGCAGAATTGACGAATGTTGTAATATGAACTTTTGTATTATGACTTAGAAGCATTTGAGTCGACCGTCTACGAGATATTGATAAGATCTGCGTATATTTTACTTTTCTCCGTATCTCATGTTGTTTTGTTATGATTGAGAAGTTAGGTTATGCACATTTTGTTGTCATGTGTGAGATATTCAATTATAATTTGTAGATTTGGTTTTGGAGTTGGTTCAAGTGTGCATGGAATAAAATGTGAAGTTTTGAATGATCCTAAGGTGCAGTAGATAATCTTTAATTTGGTCGGTTCACATTTTTCCATGCAAATATATTGATTTGTATACTGTTTAATAAAAAATAAAATACTCACATGTTTACTAATCTCTCTGTACAATAATAGTTGGGCATTATATTATTTTTGAATGGCTAACCATACTTATCTATTTTATGAAATCAATGTATTTATTATATATATTCAAAGGGTAATATAGTAAAATTACTCTTTTATTTATAATTTTTAAAAAGTGTATAAAATTAATAGTGAACAAGTATTATTGAACAGAGGGAGTATATGTAGTTACCTCGTTGTAACTGCATAAATTGAAAAGTGTTTTGATGAGAAGCAGTTTCTGTTAGACTAATAAATTATATAAAAAAAACACTTTTGTGTAGCAATTAGCATTTGATCAAAAAAAATTAAATGTGTGTTTCTAAGTGTATTTTGCTTTTAGGAAAAGTTACTCCATCCATTTCAAAATAAATGTTATTTTCATCATATTCTTATGTCTGAAAATAAGTGAAATTTTACATAATCAAGAAACATTGATATATTTTTCGACCAAAATTAACCTTGGTTCAATAAATACATTAAAGAGTAGATAGTAAAACACTTCTTATTTTCTTTTGAAAAATAATCTCTAACACTATTTTTCCAAAATATTTATTTTCTTTCAAAACTTAGTTAAACACATCGTGTTTTTTTATTAAAAAAAATAATTACTTTTTTATCTTCCAAAAAATTGACCAAACAAGCTATAAAATTTCTTGGTTAATTATTTACAATCGAAAAAATTATTTTTTTCAGATCTCATAAATATAAAAATCTCCTGTAAAAAAACGTTTTAAGCACATGCCATAAATCGTAAATGGGGGGCTGAGAAAATGGAGGGCAAAGGAGGTGCTTTCGATTGGGACCATCCTTTTTTGTTCAAAGGGGCCCTTAAGTTTTCTCATGACGTGGTTATAATAATAATAATAAATACTACTACTATTATTATTATTATTATTATTATTATGTCAGTGTCTTGGTTACCATCCACGTACGTTGCTTTCCAAAAAGAAAATGTCTGAACGTGCTCTAGTAGAAATATTTTATCATGTGTTTAAATATTCAATCGAAATAAGCTTAAGTAATTTAAGTGTATAAATGAAATTTATTGATAGATTTAAAAAATCATCGACTTATCAAACATATGTAGATAACAGTAGACAAACTTAAAGAAAGATATAGGAAACAAATTAAAATGTATTCATAGACTAAGTAAAATAATCCAATTCATATCCTTCGTTAATATTTGATTTATTTACAATCTTATATTTACAAAACTTACTCTTAGGTACTTTGTTTATAAGGGTTCTTCGTTATAGAATTTGAATCAAAAATTGAAAAAGGATAAAAAATAATTGTTCTTAACATATTTAAAATTGCTCACAAATTAGTGATAATTTCCATATTTCCAGTGAAATGTTACATTACATAACTTGGTGATTAGCTTGATCTTCCAAAAGGTTTGAAAAAGAGGCATATAATGATATAGGAAGGTTTGAGAAATATATTTTATCAATTATTTTGTTATGATCATTGATTAAAAAATTCGGAAAATTGTTTATTATTTTTTAAGAAATATATTTTTTTTTTAAATGAGAAAAAAAAACTCATAATAAAAGTACATTAGATGTTGAAAATAAAATGTGATATCTCAAAAGAAACTTTGGCATAATCTATAAATTCTACCATCTTCAATAACCATACGCAATTCTTCATTATAAATTAAATTAATTTCCACATCAGTTTGTACTTAGATCCAATAGGGAAAACGTATTTGACTGCTGAATAGCGTTAATTAATTGACTACAATATAATTTTCATATAATATTAATGTTTTTTTATTGTTGTTACAGATTATTAATTAGTAGCCTCCATTATTAGCCGTTATTTATTACTATTAACATTTTCAGAACATAAAAAGAAAGATGACAAAGCTACTCTAATACCTGTAATTATTACTACATAAACAAGGAGAGACATATAACAGTATATTCTCCATGTCCTAACATGTTTTCATGCATTCAACACATTTTGTATTTTGTTGGTGTAATATACCATAAATATAAATGAATAAATAAATCTTTAGGCTGAGGCGCGGCGCGGATATCTCTCTCTTTAAGGAGATTCAAGTCTACTGCGGTATAATCTACATCGATCCAGCAATATCACTCTTGACTTGTCCCCTCCAGAATACAATAGCCCAACAACGTCGTACAACTCAAGCAACTCAGGATTAGTTGAAGAGTCCAAAGCTCTACGAAAGAACACTTTCCTTCAACATATAAATATTCTCTTTTATATATAGTGAATATAGTTGAAGACTGTCATGACCCAACCCACCGGGCCGTGCGGGCACCTACTTTAACACCTAAGTAGGAGAACCCTTGACTCCCAAACAATTGAAAACATGTGGAAAACTAAGAAGACTGGAAAATAAAAGTAATTTCAAGAGGTTTTTTTTATATAATAAAGAGTTTTAAACAACCCAAAGTCAAATTTACAAAATAATTAACACCCTTAAGGATATAGTCTAAACAGGTACAAGAGCTTCTAAGATTACAAGGTATAAATACATCAACTAATGACACAGCTTCCACCACGGGTAAGGAAGAGTAGAAGCTATTGGAGATTGTCTTCGTCTTCACCTATGAAACACACCGACTCTGCAATCAGACTATGCCAAAGGCATAACAAGAGTAGTATAAATACAAACCACACGTAGTAGTAGGCATCATGGGTCAACCCGATGCCCACCGCATAATATAAAGAAATCGACTAGCAGAAAACATGCAATAAGGAAGCACATCCCTCAACCTTTATCATCTTGCCTTTACCATTATCATATACCTTAAGTGTACTAGAACACTTGACTCTAACCCCCTTAGTCTAGCACCATGCATCGCTCCGCTCTTGATCATAGCTTAACATTTCTAACTCGTGGAAGAGTTTTCGAATACAACCACTGTCAACTCGGCCACCCACTCACGACATACCCTCACTTCTTCTGCATCACAACTTGACCCTTGACTACACAGAATATCCTATCCAGGCTCACTAACTATTTCAAGTATCAATCTCATTCCTTAGGTAGGATACTACTACTATTTTGACCATAAACATTACTCTACTCCTCATTATTTAAGAACACAGACAACCCCTCTAAACATATTTCATAATAACATCTGGACCCTCGGTATCCTCTTATCAGACCACATACGGTGGGCTCGCTCATTCACAATCAATTCTAACGACTAGATAATAAGCCATTTTATTACAACACAGTAAACACACATATACAAGATGCATAATTCAATTATCTTTTAAGGGTACATACAATTTCCCAATGTCAATAACAGGTAGATATAAATGTCATGATCATTAGTGGTTCTCTCATGGAACACACACCCAAACGGTTAGTGTGTCAGAACGTGACATACGATTCAATATGTGTCGGAACGTGACACCCGATCCAATATATGTGTCAGAACGTGACACCCGACAACACCCGATCCAATAGATGTGTCGGAACATGACACCCGATCCAGTCAGCACAAGCACAACCATAATTACACCTATAATGAACAGTTCATATAGTCACAGGTCCATGGCATGTAATTATTCATACTTAGTCGTCTCATTAGGTTCGATTCATGTTTCTCTAATCCCCTTTCATGTACACACACAATAGGGCCATTAATAAGCATATACAACACCTAACTAGCGGTCGCACCATCCTCTAACTCTAGTTCACAAGACGAGACCTTTCCCCATGGTACACATCATCTTTAGCATAAATTCTACCGTCAATTAACATTACATTACGCAGTGAACTCGAATTTACGACTATTCAATTGAGTAAATCTAGCCTATTTGGGCACCAAACAACTGCAGAGGGATTGTAGCTCCAATCCTGGCTTTCGAACGACGAGACAGTGAATTTTGCCGAGAATCCTTGCGCTAGAAATCTCTTCCTCTTCCTTTCCCAAGCCTAGAGTAGCCTTTTGAGAGTTTCTTGGGTGGTCCTCGCCTCTTTTTGGTGTTTTGGGGAAAAAAGAAAATAAGGCTTCACGTCATTTAAGTTTTGCCCCAACCATCCCGCTCTGACGCTCCCTGTACCGCTGGAGCGCTGCCGCCCTAGTGGGATGGTGGGGTCCAGTTCTCCTGACGTTTTGTCTTTCCTAAATAACGACGGTTCGGATCGTTACAAAGACTTAGAATATTATATTTGTCTCAACTCTCTCTTTCACTACTACACACTAAAATATTATTTCACACTTCTCATCTTTTTTAACTAACACTCCATCTTATATTTCTTGGGATACTTCATAAAGGATGAAACACCACTATTTATAGGTGAAGAAGTGTTTCATATAATCGATGGGTCGAAGAGGAGTAGCAATGTGGGTAGATAAATGTTACATAAGTTACAAGACACTAATGGTCATATGAGTTACAAGAAACTAATGACCACGAGAGTTACTTGAATTAATGGTCATATAAGTTACAAGAACCAATAGTCATCTTCTACCACAATTTATACACACTAACATATGCACTTAATATTTTATTTTAATAATAAAATGCATAAACACCAATATATTTCACCTCAAATAAGTTCTGCAATGCGCAATTCAAATCGGAACTCTAATGCGGATTCAGGCACTAAATGAGAAGCCAAAAAAATACATTTTATATGCATG